TGCAGATCTGTCCTCGCAGAGGAGGGAGAGCTTGTACCTGAATAAAACTTGGTCTTAAAGGTGCCACTGGACTGTTTTGGACTGGGGGGCCAGGGAGGGCTCTGCAGCTTACCTGGCTGCTTCTTGCTCTGACTGAGGGCTGCTGGGAGCAGGGGGTGGGGCTTGTTGCATGTGCCCGCCCCCTGGGCCCTTTACTGCCGGAGCTCCGCTCCTGTGCGCTCCTGCAGGAAATGACCCCTGCCCGTCCCCCAGTCCAACCTGCCAGTATCTTAATCCGCCAGCTAAAGCAGAGTGCGCCACCCCAGTCCAAACCAACTGAGGGTAACCCCATGTGAACTTCCACCTTCACAGGGTTTCCCAGGCAAGAGACGTTCAGAGATGGTTCCCCGCTGCCTCCCTCTTCGTAGCGACCCTGGGCTTCCTTGGTGGCCTCCCATCCGAGTACTAACCGGGGCTGAGTTGCAAACAGCGGCTAGACTGCTACCGGTCAAGAAAGTTGGAGCTTTGGATTTCTTGCATCAGGCGAGGTTGGACTAAATAGTTAAATAAAGCCTCTTCCGGTTCTAGGATTCTATTACGTAAGGACTGGGGTTTCCCCCATTATGTGGTTGTTTACTGCTGTTAAGATGCAGCCGGCTTATGGCGGCCCCAGCAAGGGGGTTTCAAGTTATGTGGTTGTTTACTGTAAAGTGCTATTAAGATGCAGCCGGCTTATGGTGGCCCCAGCAAGGGGCTTTCAAGGCAAGCAGGGGGCTCTCGAGGCAAGTGAGAAGCAGAGGTGGTTGACGCTGCCTTCTTCTGCAGAGCCTTCGTTGGTGGTCTCCCGTCTAAGCCCCGACCCTGCTTTGCATTCAAGCTCCGAGGAGACTGAGCTAGTTTGGGTTATGAGGGCTCCTGCATCGGCCAGCTGCAAGTAAGTTTAAGCAAACGAAGAGTAACTCGGAGAAATGCTCAGACCAGTTCTTGCTCGCAGTGCCGGCCTGGGCCTTTGGCTCTAGAATGATTTTCATTATCCAGTTCGCCAATGCTGGCAAGGAAAATAATGCCGTTTAACAAACTTCCTCTCCCTCCCCGCAGAGCAGGTCATTTCTCATTCTGTGGAGGGAAAACCGGTCTTCCCTGACACGGGACAAGTCTGTCCCCAGCCACCTTTCCCAGGCCCAAAAGGAGAGCGCTCTGGGCATCAGGTGGAGAGGACGACATAAGAACATAAGAAAACCTAAGAGAAACCAAGGCTGGATCAGGCCAGTGGCCCATGCAGTCCAACACTCTGTGTCACACAGTGGCCAAAAACACCAGGTGCCATCAGGAGGTCCACCAGTGGGGCCAGGACACTAGAAGCCCTCCCACTGTTGACCCCCCCCCCAAGCACCAAGAATACAGAGCATCACCTGCCCCAGACTGAGAGTCCCTATCTATACCTTGTGGCTAATAGCCACTGATGGACCTCTGCTGCATATAAGAACATAAGAGAAGCCAATGTTGGATCAGGCCAATGGCCCATCCAGTCCATCACTTTGTATCACGCAGTGGCCAAAAATACCAGGTGCCCTCAGGAGGTCCAGCAGTGGGGCCAGGACACTAGAAGCCCCTCCACTGTTGCCCCCCCCCCCACAGCACCCCGACCACATCACCACCGCTCA